CTTGTTACCCCCACCGACGCAGCACCACAGTTTCTTTAGAAACTTTCATCCTTTATTCATTATTCTTAATAAGTTTGGCTGTAAAATTGATAATTGACAGTATAGATTGTGATTGGTGGCGGGGAGTTGTTTTGGATAGATGGGAGATAATGTCTTAAAAATGTCTGCACTAGTCGGTCAAGGGACGTCCTTCGTAAAGAAAACTGGTTTTTAATAGCACCTCTATGGCTAAAAACACGAAATATATGGCCTAAAAGTTCATAGCGAGCATCTCACTTGCATACTAACATACAAAGCGTCGTAAACAACTGAATCATTTATTTCATATCAAAACGCCATCATGCGCAAGCTTATAACTTGCTGACATCAAGACACTATGCAAAAATTTAAATAGTTTAACGGAAGGCCTTTAAATGGCACTCACTGCACGTTCAATAATCGTATCTTTATTTGCATTAAATTTATATTTAATATGTGATTCTGATGTTCCGATACCTGTATGAATACGCGGTCTTTTTGCTTTTTTAAGCGAATCCGCTGCTACCTCAATATCTTTTTTGACAGCCCTTGTCAGACCACAAACACTTGCATTTTTTACTATAGCTGCAATTTTTTTTACCGAGTCAAAATCCCCAGGACTTGAAATAGGAAAACCCGCTTCAATAACATCTACCCCTAAAATATCTAAACGCTCCGCGATAAGTATTTTTTCTGGGGTATTGAGTTTGCATCCGGGCACTTGTTCTCCGTCTCTCAGGGTTGTGTCAAAAATATGAACTCTGTTTTCCATACATTCAAAATTAATTGTGGCAAATCTAAAAAATATCTACCCACTGCATTTTATAGATTTATTTTTTTACCCCCTTTCAAAAAAACAAAAAAACATCTATCTATTTGATAATCAATTTTTTATTGGTATTTTTTTTACGATGGTTATGATTATTTTCCTGCTATCATTGAAATCTCAATCTCTGCATTTTTGGGTAGTTTTGACACCTCTATGGTTTCTCTTGCGGGTGCAGTTTTACCCTCAAAATAACTAGCGTAAATGGCATTGATGCGTTCAAAATTTTTCAATTTTTTCAAAAAAATACTGCTTTTTAAAACATTGCTAAAATCCATTTTAGATGCTGTTAAAATTGCTTTTAAATTTTGCATCACTTGGTGGGTTTCTGCTTCAATATTTTCAGATATGAGCGTATTTTTTTTTACATCAATCGCAATTTGCCCAGATATGTAGAGCGTATTTCCGTGTAAAATCGCTTGATTATAAGGACCAAGCGGAGCAGGTGCATTAGTTGTGTTGATAATCGTTTTCATAAATTATTCAAGTTTATTTTTTATAAGTGGTAAAATTAGTGTTTTTTATATTTGGAACGCCCCTCTAAATAAATTTGCAAAAAATTTGTAGCCATTCATATCTTTTTTCCAGCTGCCCCTTTAAAAAAGATCGCTTAACGCTGCTTTTGCCCTTTTAGCAACATCAGCATTATCGCTATTCGCCGCTTTTTGATACCAATATTTTGCCTTTGCATAATCCTTCACAACACCTTTTCCATAATAATATATCCACCCAATATTATATTGAGCTTTTGCATTCCCCTGCTCTGCTGCTTTTTGAAACCATTTTATAGCTTTT